GCCCCCCGCGGACGCCCCAAGAGAGCCCAAGAGAGCCCAAGAGGCCTCCAAGAGGGGCTCAAGACGGCTCTGGAGGGCCCCAAGACGGCCCCAAACGCGCTCAAGACGGGCGAAGAGAGCCCCAAGACGGCCCAAGCGGGCCCCGAGTCGCCGAAAGACCGCTCCAGGACGCCCAAGATAGGCCCAAGACGGCCCGAGAGGCCCCCCAAGGCACTCCACGACGCTTCAAGACGCCTCTCCAGAGCGCTGCCAGAGGCCGAAATCGTCAATTTTACAAAGGTTTTCGAACGATTTTGGCCTTCCAGCCTTTTCGGCTGTCCGACGTTCCAAGACGGCTCAATAGGCCCCCCAGGAGCGCCCCAAGACGGCCCAAGAGGGCCCCAAGAGGGCCCCAGAGTCGCCCAAGACAGCCCAACAGAGCCCCAAGACGGCCCCAAGATGCGCATAAGACGGGGACCACGACTCCAAGATTCGACCCTCCGGCTTGAAGAGTGCCCCAGGAGGCCCCAAGGAGCCCCCAAGAGGCCCCAGGAGGCCCCCAAGAGGCACCCAGGAGGCCCAAACGAGGCTTAAAGAGGCCACAAAACAGCCCCGAGGAGGCCCCACAACGGTCCCAAAACAGCTACCGAGAAGCTGCGAAACTGCCTTCACGACGTCCCCGACAGGCCAACCACGAGATCCAAACCAACACCCATGAGGCCTCTGACCCACCACCCAGGGCACGGTGGCGGGAGCAGTGACAGCACTTGTGCACAGCATGTTCCGGCGGGAGCCTTCAGGAACACGCTGCAGGAGGAGGAGGAAGATCAGGAGGAGAGAGAGCAGGAGTGGGAGGAGGAGGAGGAGGGGGACGAGGAGGAGGAAGAGGTCTCCAAGACAGCTCGCAGATAGCCGAAGAGGCTTACACGAGGGCCCTGGGCGGCCCACGAGGGCCCCAAGGCGGTGCCCGAGGCGCCCGAGAGGGCCCCAGGACGGCCCCAAGAGAGCCCCAAGAAGGGAAAGACGAATCGAGAATCCGAGCTTTCTACCCCGAGAGGTTCTCGGGAAGACCCAAGATGCCCCCAATCGGATCCAAGAGGCCCCTGAGAAGCTCCCAAGAGGGCCGACGAGGTTCCAAGAGATCTCCCAAGGTGGCCCCAAGAGGCAGAACTCATTGTTTTACGATTCGGCTTTGACGGGTTCTACGTTGTTTTCTGCCTTCGGCATCCCGATGTCCAACACGGTCCAAGAGGCTTCCAATACCGCTCCCATATAGAGGAAGAGGCCTCCAAGAGGGCCCCAAGACGGCCCGCGAGGGCTCCAAGACGGTGCTTGAGGCGCCCAAGACGGCCCCAGAGGGCCCCAAGAGCCCCAAGAGAGGCCCAAGAAGGGGAACGCGACCCAACAGCAGAGCGGTCCCCCCACAAGGCCCACAGGAGGCCGCAAGAGGCCCCCAAGTGGTCCGACGAGGACCCCAAAAGCTTCCCGAGGGCCTCAGAGGCCCGCAGGAGACGTCCAAGAGGCTTTAAAATAGCCCAAGAGTGCCCTCGATGCGTCAAAACTGCTTCCAGGACGCCCCCGGGAGGCTTCCGGATTGCCTCAATCTGGCAGCAGGTGGCCTCAAGTCGGGCCTCCACGCAGCCAAGACGGCCAATGACGGCTTCAAATTGCAGAACCCATGCCCCCAAGGCGCCCTCAGACGCCCCCCCAAGAAGCACCCAAGAGGTGCCTCCAACAGCCAGTTGACGAAGCATGCGGAACACCCCAGAAGCTCCTCAGATGCCGTCGCGCGCCTGTGCTTGATAGCGTTGTCCAAGATCGTCCAGCGCCCCCCGGCCTGGGCTAGAACCATGCAGGCCCAGCAGGCTCCAAGAGGCCCAGGAGGGCGAAGAGGCCCCCCCAGAGGGCCCCAAAAGGCCAAAATCGTTTATTTTACTAAGGTTTTGGACACATTTTGCCTTTCCCGCCTTTTCAGCTGACCGACGCTCCACGACGGCTCAAAGGCCCCCCGCGGACGCCCCAAGACGGCCCAAGAGGCCTCCAAGAGGCCCTCAAGACGGCTCTGGAGGGCCCCAAGGCGGCCCAAGACGCGCCCAAGACGGGCGAAGAGAGGCCCAAGACGGCCCCCAGAGGGCCCCAAGAGGGGGACCGCGAACCGGAAATTCGAGCCTCCCGCCTCCACCGGGCCCCGGGAGGCCCCAAAGGGGCCCCAAGAGGCCCCAGGAGACCCCCAAGAGGCACCCAGGAGGCCCAAACGAGGCTTCAAGAGGCTCCCAAACAGCCCCCACGAGCTCCCCCTTGCGAGCCTCTCCGGCCCCTCCCGGGGACCATCTTGGGCCACCTTCTCCTCGGGGCTCATAGCCCCGAGCTGGCGAGAATGCGAGAACCGTTTAAAGACAAATTATCCCGGCAAAGCAACCTAACAGCGATGTGTAGAAGCATATCTGAAAGCATTCCCCTTAAGATTCAGATGAAAATCCAGTTGTCGAATTCTGCTGTTTTTGCAGTCGTAGTCGCATTCGCGATGACAGTCGCAGCGGCAACGGCAGTCGCAGTCACAGCCTCAGCCTCAGCCTGCCTCCTCCTCCTCCTCCTCCTCCTCTTTCTCCTGCTCCTCCTCCTCCTCCTCCTCCTCTTCCTCCTGCTCGTCCTCGTTCTCGTCCTCCTCGTCTTGCTCGTCCTCCTCCTCCTGGTGCTCCTCCTCCTCCTCCTCCTCCTCCTCCTCCTCCTCCTCCTCCTCCTGGTGGTCCTCGTTCTCCTCCTCCTGGTGCTCTCCCCCCCCCTCCTCCTCCTCGTCCTCCTCCTCCTCCTCCTCGTCCTCCTCCTCTTCCTCCTCCTCCTCCTCCTCCTCCTCCTGGTAGTCCTCCCCCTCCCCTCCTCCTCCTCCTCCTCCTCCTCTTCCTGGTCGTCCTCGTTCTCGTCCTCCTCGTCTTGCTCGTCCTCCTCCTCCTGGTGTTCTCTCCTCCTCCTCCTCCTCCTCCTCCTCCTCCTCCTCCTCCTCCTGTGGTCTCCTCGTTCTCCTCCTCCTGGTACTCCTCCCCCCCCCTCCTCCCTCCTCCTCGTCTCTCTCCTCCTCTTCCTCCTCCTCCTCTTCCTCCTCCTCCTCCTCCTCCTCCTCCTCCTGGTACTCCTCCCCCTCCCCTCCTCCTCCTCCTCCTCTTCCTGGTCGTCCTCCTCCTCCTGGTCGTCCTCCTCCTCCTGCTCGTCCTCCTCCTCCTCCTGCTCGTCCTTCTTCTCCTGCTCCTCCTGCTCCTCGTCCTGCTCCTGCTCGTCCTCGTCCTCCTGGTCTTGCTCGTCCTCCTCCTCGTCGTGCTCTTGCCCCTGCTGAAAATGTGGCCCAGGATGGGAGTTCTGGGAAGTCGAAGAGCACGAAGTTGCCTACAGTTGGCTACGGGCATTCAAAATGTGGCCCGGGAATGGAGTTCTGGGAACTCGAAGAGCACGAAGTGGCCTACAGTTGGCTCCGGGCATTCAAAATGTGGCCCGGGAATGGAGTTCTGGGAACTCGAAGAGCACGAAGTGGCCTACAGTTGGCTCCGGGCATCCAAAATGTGGCCCGGGAATGGAGTTCTGGGAACTCGAAGAGCACGAAGTGTGTGACTGTTGCATCCGGCCCTCCAGAATGTGGCCCGGGAATGGAGTTCTGGGAACTCGAAGAGCACGAAGTGTGTGACTGTTGCATCCGGTTATTCTAAATGTGGCCCGGGAATGGCGTTCTGGGATCTCGAAGAGCACGAAGTGTGTGACTGTTGCATCCGGTTATTCAGAATGAGCCTGGGAATGGAGTTCTGGGAACTCGAAGAGCACGAAGTGTGTGACTGTTGGTGAAAAACTAGCTCGGCACAGGCCCGCCCGGCAACTCCCAACACCTGCCCGGACCTCCCTGTGGAGTCATCTGCTGCTCTCTTTTGACACTACTAGAAACCTATTAGTCTTCGCTGTTAGGTAATCAGATATAGTATTGTCACTTGAGGCTGTCCTGTGGGTTCCCTTGGGGACTAATTCTCCTCGTTCGCCCGGTCTTCCTCCTCACTCCATGGAAGAAGCAAGACTCTCCTTGCGCTGGCTGGGGTCTTCCCGTCCAGGCAGGGCTGGCGTTCCTCTTCCTCCTCCTCCTCCTCCGATCCTTTCTCACCAGAGCCGTATGCTGCAACACTGTCGACACGATTTGAGTCATCAGAATAATCAGGGTGCGGTTGTTGTAGTCCGCGTGTTGATGTAGTTGGTGAAGCTCTCGTTGAGCATGAGCCCGGCCAGGACGCCGAAGCAAGGACCGCCTTGGGCACAGGAGCGGCTCTGGCTCGTCGTGCTGCTGCCAAACTCCAGGCCGGGGGACCTCTTTGTGGCCAAGACCCTCGCCGTGGCCGGAAGAGCCCCGCCGTTCTTTCGACAGCGGTCTTTCTGGCAGCACGCTCCCGTGTGGGGCGAGCTCGCGTTCACAATCGGGGAAGTCCGCGCTAGAACCTAAGCGCGCGCGAAGCGCGCGCGTGGTTCTAGTATGTATATATATATATATATGCGTGCACGCAGAGAAACGAGAGGTATTGCTACACACGCGCCGGTATGTGTATTTTATATATAGATACACATGCGTGTATATACGCATGTCTAGACACACTCATGTAACCCATAAGAATGTGGCACCAATGTAATGATACACCTGTACGTCTTCTCAAAGACTGGTACGCGCGTAAAGGGAACTTGGCAGACAAGCGCGACATTGGTCTCGTTGGTAACTCCCCCCCGTATGTGGCCGTTTGTGTTCGAATGTGCACCCCACTTCAAGTCCATCAAACAGCGGCCGATGTCAGCACTTGTCGGCGCCTGGAACGGCGTGCGCGCTGCGGGCAGCTGGGTGCTTTCTTCGGTAGCCACCGAATCCGCCCTGCGCTTCGTGGGGGGGCTCGCGCAGGACGCGGGCACGTGCGTCTTTTTCGGGCAGTGCCTCCCGAACTGGAGGGCTCTGGCGTGCGTGGTAGCAGGTGCCCTGATCTTGTTCGGCCACCCTCTCGGTCGGTGCCATGGCGAACGCCTTTCCCGCGGGTCAGCGCGTCGAGGCGCTGTGGAAGGGGAGCGCAACTTTCCAGGCGCGGATCCTCCTGACGCCCGCTTCCCCAAGCGCCTTCGAGGAGATTGTGGGCCAAGACGCCCCGCAGTCGTCGGTGAACAAGGGGCTCCTGCAGTGGGCGTGCACCCCAGATGGCGACGTGCACCCGCACTACCTGAAGCCGGGGGTGGCGAGCGACATGACGAGCCTCACCCCAGTCGAGTCGACGGGCCGGCGTGGGCCCACACGGGGCACGCCCCGCAGAGCAGGGGCCCCAGTGCACGGCGAGGACTGGAATTCGCCCCCGCAGGAGTTCGCGAAGGCCCTCCAGTTCGCGCTGGACATGGACTTCAACGACGTGCTGCGGGCAGCTACGCCCGAGGCGGCGCCGGATCAGAGATCGACCAGCGGGCGCGCGAGATCGGCAGTGCGCTCAATTGGCTTGACGGCCGCTCCATCGCTCATCGGCTCCGATATTTGCAATTTAGGGTCACCCACGTGCACTCCCACGGCGGCTCTACGGGAGCTGCGTGGCACCGAGACATGCTACGATATGCAACCTGTGAAAATGGTAGGTTTCAGCCCAGATGAGGTGGCCCCTCCCGAGCGACGACCGCAGGTGCGACGCGGGTGCTGTCTTGAAGGGCGCCGCCCGTCTGGCCCGGGACAATTGGCAGTCGCAGCCGCTGCGCCCCCGCGAAGAGCGCGTTGCCATTCGCCCTTATGTTAACGACACCCTGGGGAAGGATCCCGCAACCTAAGCTCGATTTCTGCTGGGGTTGCTGGATGCAGGCGTGATTGAATTCGAGGCGGAACAGCCGTCGACCCTGGGCCTGTTCTTTGTTGCCAAGACTGATGGCACCGACAGTCTGCGCATGATCCTGGACGCCCGCCGAGTGAACCAGGAGTTCGTGGCGCCAGAGGTGGCCAACCTGCCGAGCGCGGGGGCGCGTTGAGGACCTGCTTCGCGAACGTCGTGGAATGACTCTTCCTCGCGGGTTTGGGAAATGCGTGTCAGCTAACCTGTGCGTTCTCCCCATGGACTGGAACTGAGGCTGTACTTCTGCCAGTCCCTCGTCGAGGCGGAGATCGAGCGGGCGGGGGTCGCGGCCTCCCAGATGGTGCATGACCGCCGCTTGGTACCCCCTGTCGGTGAGAAGCCAGCCGTGGCCGCCTACGTGGACGGGGCGGCCGCCATCGGGGAGGAGCGCGGCGCCGTCGACCGCGCCATCAACGCCATCCACCGCCAGCTGGAGGCCGACGGTCTTATTTGCAAAGGTGTTTCGCCTCCTGGGCTTGACCAAAAGTTCACTGGCCTGACCTTCGACAGCAATTCGGGGCGCGTGTCGCCGTCGGCCGCTCGACCGTGGCGGCCACGCTTGGGCCTTCGAGCTGGCCGCCCAGGGCTACTGCAGCGGGGGCCAAGTGCTGCGAGTGCTGGGACATTACAACTGGGCCGTCCTCTTGCGGCGCGGGCTCCTTAGCGTCTTCAGCGCCTGCTACCGCTTCGCCACCGAGACCGAGGGCAACCGCTCTGGAGCGAGCGCCGCGCCGAGCTGCGCGCGGCGTCGGCCCTCGTCGCGCGCGCACTTGGACGCGGGACGGCCCGCGGACCCGGTGGTCAGCTCCTCGGACGCCTCAGGGGCCACGGCGGGCCGCGCAGGTGACTTCGGCGGCTGCGGCGTCACGGTGAGACGCAGGGGCGCCGACGCAGTCTGGGGCGCTGCGGCTCGCTCAGAGCGCTGGCGGAATGCGGTGGAGGAGGCCGTCAGTGCCCGCGCCCAGTCTCTGGGGGGGCGGGCGATCTTCCGCCGCCAGCCGCGTCAAAGGCAGCGCCCCGTGCAAAAGGCAGTGACTTCGATCATTTGGACCAGGAGTTCCTACTACCCACGCCCCCCTGGCATGCGGCCTTCGCCGGCGGGTGGGGGCGCCCCGAGAGGGTCCTGCGGCTGGAAGGCCGCGCCCCGGTGATGGCCCTGAGGCATCGAGTGCGCGCCCTTAGCTGCCGCGGCCGTGGATTGCTAATGCTGCGCGACAATGTGCCGGTAGGGCTAGCTGTGGCGAAAGGAAGATCCTCAGCCCCAGCTGTGAACCTGACGATTCGAGAACTTATCAGCTTGTCCGTTCTCTGCGACGTGTCCGCAGCTGCCCGTTGGCTCGCCTCTGCGCAGAACAGCGCCGATGGGCCCTCCCGTATGCTCGCGCGGCCCGCGGCAGATCACGCCTGTGACCCGCGCTTCTTCGGCCCCGAGGCTGCTGCCCGCCGCAGGGCGCACGTTGACGCGGCCTTCGAGCATGGGCTGCGGAGCGCCGTGGGCGAGCGGCGCCGCGGGCCAGGCGTCCTCGGCCTCGGCGCCGAGCACGGCCGCGGCGATGAGCCCGCGGCTTGCCGCGATGCGGGGGCGGCCGATCTCGACGCTGCAGACTTCGCAACCGGCTCGGCGCCCGGCCTGGCCACCGCCTTCGGCGACGACTCCAGCTCCAGCAGCGACGGCGCGGACAGCCAGGGCTGGGGCGGCGCAGCTGAGGGCGAAGGTGCATGCCGCTCGCGAGCGGGCTGCTCTACGGCGGCAGCGTCGAGCCCGCGACCGCCAGGCCCGCCATCGCATCGGCCTTCGGGGCGAGCAGCATGGGCTCGCGTTCTTGCAGCGCTTCAAGGTCCGGCGGCCAGCGCAGGCAAGCTACGACAAGGACGTCAGCGAGCTGCTCGACAAGTGGGGGATCAGCGATCTCCGCGCGATGCCCGTGGCGAGGCTCGACAGGGGCCTGGCGGAGCACTTCGACGACCTCTACTTGTCGGGCTACCAGGCCGAGGCGGGGCCCCGCCTGCCGGCGGCCGTCTGCCACCGTTGCCCCAGGCTGGGCCGCGGAGGACTCGATGTCCTCCACGAGGCGCGAGCGGCTATGGCGGGCTTCAGGGCCCGCGCCCGCAGCCAGTCTCGGCTGCCGCTGGCCAAGCCCTGGGTGCCCGGCGTGATCGGGCTCGCGATCGTGGAGCGGGACTTCGAGTTCGCGCTGGCGCTGCTCCTCGCGCGGGACACCTGGGCGCGGCTCCCCAGCGACTTCGCTGCGCTGCTCACGACGTCGGTGGTGGGCCCAGGCCGCGGTCCGACGCGTCACTGGGGCTTTCTCCTCTACCCCGTGGAGGGCGGCTTTCTCTGCAAGAGCGCGGCAGCGCGGCCCACGACGAGGGGGCGCTGCTCCGGCACGCCTGCTGGGCGGAGGGGGCGGACCGCGCGCTGGCCCTGCAGCGGGCGACGAGGCCCCGCGGGGAGCGCCTGTTCAGCTTCAGCTCGAGCAGCTCCTCCCAGAGGTTCGCCAGCCAGTTAGCGCAGCTGCCCGAGGCGCCCGCGGCCATCCCGTGCCAGGTGCGCCACGGCGCGGCGAGTCACGCGGCCGCAGTGGAGGGGCTCGACTTGGCGGCGGTGCAGGAGCGGCTTCGCCATGCCCATCTGGCTTCGACTCTCAGGTGCCGCAAGCACGTCCAGCATTTGCGCCTGATCGACGCCGTGCCCGCCGCGGTGATGCAGTGGGCCGAGGCAGCGGAGCAGCAGCTGAGGCCAGCTCTGCGCGGGCGGGGCAGAGCCTGCCCGCCCCGCCGTGGAGGAGCGCTGCGCCGCGCAAGCGACCGCGCGCAAGCTGCGGCGGCTTGGCCGCGCGCTGATCGCCGACAGGGCGCAGCTCTTCCTGGAGATCCGCTTCGGGAGCGGGGAGGTCGCCGCTCATATTCCCACGCGTGACGGCCACCGCGCGGGCTGGATTCACGCCGACCTGTTCATTTCGGCGCTGACGAGGCGACGCCTGATCGGCTGGCTACTGTCGAGTTTCGCCCTGCGCGTATCAAAGTCACGCGCGGGCTGTGCACGAATGTCTCGATGTTCTTGCCGTGCGATGTGGCTTCGGATTCGACGACGCTCGCGTGCGCGTGCATTCTGGCAACAGGTCGGACTTGGTGCACGGTGGCTCTTTGGTGCCAGGCAGTGCACTATCGAAAAAGCTCACTTTGTGGACACACGGTGGTGCCGACCGCTTGGCCGCAGCCCGTTTGCACAGCCTCGCGCTATGAGGCGCTGTCGTTTTTGGCCCGTGGGGCGGGGGGGCCCAACACCCCCAAAACCGCCGAAAATGGTACATCGCCCCCCCCGCCCCTCGGTGCACCGGGCCCCCCCACGTACACCGAGGGGGGGAGGGGGGTCGATGTGCCATTTTCGGCGGTTTGGGGGGGTCGCCCAGGGCTCTCTCGCACCCCCCCTTGGGCCCAATCCGTCCTCCTTGAATCCCTCCTGGGCTTGTCTGCGGCTCGCCCCGGCGCTCAATGGGTCACCCGGCGCCCTCTGCGCCCTCCAGGTAGAAATTTGGACCCTTTTGACGCCTTCGTACGGAGGTTGTTCACAGCTGATATCGGCCAGGGGCCAGGGTATGGCGAAATGGCATGTGAGGCGAGGCCTCTTGTCTCTTGTTGCTTGCACGTGCGTTCGCCGAGAAGTTTTCGCTGCAAGGTACCAATGCATCAGATCGTGGAAAAAGAAGTGTCGAGCTGTTGTTACAAACGTCTGGCCACGGGGCGGGTGCTCTTCCTAAGCACGACATTGGTCTCGTTGGTAGCTCCCCCCGTATGTGGCCGCTTGTGCTCGAATGTACACCCCACCTCAAGTCCTCCCGCCCGCTACTTTCCGAATGGAGTGTACTTGTTTAATAAGGCACATATGACTGTGGCAGGTGGGACGAGGCCTCTTGTCTCTTGCTGCTTGCACGTGCGTTCGCCGAGAAACTTTCGCTGCAAGGTACCAGTGCATCAGATCGTGGATGATCCCGGCAAAGCAACCTAACAGCGATGTGTAGGAGCATATCTGGAAGCATTCCCCTGAAGATTCTGATGATAATCCAGCTGTAGAATTCTGCTGTTCTCGCAGTCGTAGTCGCATTCGCGATGACAGTCGCAGTGGCAACGGCAGTCGCAGTCACAGCCTCAGCCTCAGCCTGCCTCAGCCTCAGCCTCAGCCTCAGCCTCAGCCTCAGCCTCAGCCTCAGCCTCAGCCTCAGCCTCAGCCTCAGCAGCTCAGTCAGCCTCAGCCTCAGCCTCAGCCTCACTCAGCCTCAGCCTCAGCCTCAGCCTCAGCCTCAGCCTCAGCCTCAGCCTCAGCCTGCTTCAGCCTCAGCTCAGTCTGCCTTCAGCCTCGGCCTCAGCCTCAGCCTGCCTCAGCCTCAGCCTGCATCAGCCTCAGCCTCAGCCTCAGCCTGCCTCAGCCATCAGCCTGCCTCAGCCTCAGCCTCAGCCTGCCTCTCAGCCTCAGCCTCAGCCTGCTTCAGCCTCAGCCTCAGTCTGCCGTCAGCCTCGGCCTCAGCCTCAGCCTGCCTCAGCCTCAGCCTGCATCAGCCTCAGCCTCAGCCTCAGCCTGCCTCAGCCTCAGCCTCAGCCTCAGCCTCAGCCTCAGCCTGCCTGCCTCAGCCTCAGCCTGCTTCAGCCTCAGCCTCAGTCTGCCTTCAGCCTCGGCCTCAGCCTCAGCCTGCCTCAGCCTCAGCCTGCATCAGCCTCAGCCTCAGCCTCAGCCTGCCTCAGCATCAGCCTGCCTCAGCCTCAGCCTCAGCCTGCCTCAGCCTCAGCCTCAGCCTGCTTCAGCCTCAGCCTCAGTCTGCCTTCAGCCTCGGCCTCAGCCTCAGCCTGCCTCCTCAGCCCATCAGCCTCAGCCTCAGCCTCAGCCTGCCTCAGCCTCAGCCTGCCTCAGCCTCAGCCTCAGCCTCAGCCTCAGCCTCAGCCTGCCTCAGCCTCAGCTCTGCCTCAGCCTCCTCAGCCTCAGCCTGCCTCAGCCTCAGCCTCAGCCTCAGCCTCAGCCTCAGCCTCAGTCTGCCTTCAGCCTCCTCCTCAGCCCTCAGCCTCAGCCTCCTGCCTCAGCCTCAGCCTGCATCAGCTTCAGCCTCAGCCTCAGCCTCAGCCTCAGCCTCAGCCTCAGCCTCAGCCTGCTCAGCCTCAGCCTCAGTCTCAGCCTCGGCCTCAGCCTCCTCAGCCTCAGCCTGCATCAGCCTCAGCCTCAGCCTCAGCCTGCCTCAGCATCAGCCTGCCTCAGCCTCAGCCTCAGCCTGCCTCAGCCTCAGCCTCAGCCTGCTTCAGCCTCAGCCCCAGTCTGCCTTCAGCCTCGGCCTCAGCCTCAGCCTGCCTCAGCCTCAGCCTGCCTCAGCCTCAACATCAGCCTGCCTAGCATCCAAAATGTGGCCCGGGAATGGAGTTCTGGGAACTCGAAGAACGCGAAGTGGCCTACAGTGGCCTCCGGGCATTCAAAATCATTCCCAGGCATGGACTTCTGGGAGCTCGAAGACCACGAAGTGGCCTACAGTTGGCTCCTGGCATTCAAAATCATGCCCAGGAATGGAGTTCTGGGAACTCGAAGACCACGATGTGGCCTACAGTTGGCTCCGGGCATTCAAAATCATGCCCAGGAATGGAGTTCTGGGAATTCGAAGACCACGAAGTGGCCTACAGTTGGCTCCGGGCATTCAAAATCATGCCCAGGAATGGAGTTCTGGGAATTCGAAGAACACGAAGTGGCCTACAGTTGGCTCTGGGCATTCAAAATCATGCTCAGGAATGGAGTTCTGGGAACTTGAAGACCACGAAGTGCGTTACTGTTGGCTAAAAAAGGAGTCTCCGGATTCCCGGGGATCCCGTCCGGATCCCGCCCAGAACCCTTGGGGAGTCAAGATGCTTTCTTTTGACACCACTAGAAACCTATCAGTCTTCGCTGTTAGGTAAAACAAGTGTCGAGCTGTTACTGCAAACGTCTGGCCACGGGGCGGGGGCTCTTCCTTATTCCCCATATCCTAAGGATTGGGGTTCTTGTTATTACTCTGACGCCTCCCACTCCTCCTCCTCCTTCTTCCTCCCGTGGAACTTCACCGTGGCGGCCCCAGATGGCAGACGAGTCACTCTCCACGTGGGTGCTGATAAAGCCCCTCGGCAGATCCGACGCGAGATGCACACCAAGCGCCTTCTCAACATCCTCGTCCAAGACTGGTCTGACGTCGATGGCAAGCACCTCGAGTGGACCGCCATCCGTCCCAAAGGCATCCTCTGCGCCAACGCCGTCCCACTCATTGAGGTTGTACCACAGGGCTTCCACGAGTCGTCCAAGCTCTACTGGCACCCTGAAGCTGATCGTTCACTCCGCGCGGACTACCGTCGCAACATCACGGAGCACTTCACAGAGGCCACGGCGTTGTCTTCGGAGGTTGACACCTCCACCTGGTCGTGCTCCTAGCCCACGCTGGCTGCCTTGGGTCTTGTCCCCTGCCCGAGGTACTGATTCGTCAGCCAGCAAGGGGCTCTGCATTGCGTCATGGAATGCCAATGGACTCCTCTGCCACCGGGCCCACAAGCGCAAGGCCAAGCTGGATCGTCTGGGCCAGTTGATGAAGCTTCGCAATCTGATTGTGGTGCAGGAGACGCATGGTTCGGAGATCAAGCTCAGGACTCTCCTCGCCCAGATGCCGTACCACTACCTCCCCTTCTTCTCAGCGGGCCCGAACCCAGGCTCTGGCGGCTTGGCCTTCCTGGTTCCGTGGTTCTCAGAGGCAGAGTTGCGCTCCATCGACCCGCACTTACTACCTTCCACTTCTATGAAGACACTTGTGCCAGGGCGAGTAGCCGAGCTCTCCATCTCCAACGTGAACACTGATGAGCATGTCCGCATCCTGAACATCCACAACTATGACGTCCCGCACGGCTCCTTTGCCTCCATCAAGCGTTGCTGGATGGATGGGGCTCGCTGGGCACAAGAAGACGAAAGACACCGCATTTTCTTAGCTATTGGCGACTTCAACATAGCTGACATTGAGCCGCTGTCCCTCGAGCAGCCCACTGCCGCTGGTTTGCCCCAGGCCCCTGGCGCTCTCCCCAGATCGCCACCGCGTGCTGCCTCGGCGTCCTCCAGCGGCTCCTCGTCCTCCACGACCTCGTCTGCTGCCTCGAGGGATAGGACAAGAAGAGCGGGTAACAGCCGCTCGGTTTGGCATCGGGGGAACCAAGGTCAGGGCTTCTGGAGAGCTCTATTCCAGCAGTCCCTGGCAGAGATTACCTGTGAGCTCCCCACCCACTTCTCCAAGCAGCACCAGACGTGCTCCTTCATTGACCGCGCCTTTGTCTCGCTGAAATCGCACTCCATCCTGAGCACTGCGGTCTCCTTTGAGATATGGCAGGAGGCTGCGAAGCTTGCTGACTGGGGCCTCAGCGACCACGCCATCATCCAGCTGAAGATCTGGACTCGTGCCCAGACCCCAGTGAATGAGCAGCCCATCCCGCCGAACATCTTCAACACGGACCGCTTCAAGAAGCACGTGAAGGCCCTCCTGGACGTGGCTGAGCTGGACTCCCTGGAGACTGGTTCTCGATGGCAGCTGGTCAAAGAAGTCATGACCGAGGCGGCGCGCCTGACCAGGAACGAGATTCAGGCCTTGCCCCTGGGTGACGGGAGCGAGGATGCGACTGATGGCCGTCGCCTCACGGCACGAGCCATCGCGAGAGCGATATGGCGTCAGGATGTGCAGCTGGCGCTCCGCCTCGTGCGCTCGACGGAGATGGGCGCGAAGCACCTCGCTATCAGTCCCTCCGATGTGGTCTCCCTGCAGGCGGCGGAGGACTTTGAGAGGGATTGCAGGCTCCTCCACCTCGCTTGGCATGAGCGTCAACGTGCTGCAGCTGCTGCTCGGCTCCGCGAGGAGTCCCGCCTACGACCTGGTGCTGAAGGACCTGATAAGTGGCAACTCTTGAAGCTCCAGCGGGCTGCACAGAGAAGGGCCATGC